CTTCTTCCTGTCAATGTTGGCCCCACAGGTTGGATGGTGGGAGAGGTTCACACTGTCTGGGTGTAGGGGTTGAAAGTGAGAAGCTGCTTCTGGAGGGGCTTTATGTAAATAACAAAGAGAGGGGCAGCTTCCTCCAGAGCAAATTCAGGTCATTTAAAGGAAACCTTTGTTTGGAGCACGTGGGAAAACCTCTTGTCAGTGTGTGGAGCCTCAAATGTGTTGGATCATAATTCTTGGCCAGAGAAGCTACAGATAAACACATTTGCTGTTCTTTTTCAGCATGGAGTGACTTTCTTCCATTTTTTTTTTCAGTAGGTGGTGATATTCTTATGTGTTTACAAGGGTAAATAGTCACAGGACAAGGGGAAGGGCTTCAAGTGGAAAGAGGGGAAGCTTAGGTGAGATTTTGGGAAGGAATTATTCCCTGGGAGGGTGGGGAGGCCCTGGAATGGATTTCCCAGAGAAGCTGTTGCTGCCCCATCCCTGAAAGTGTCCAAGGCCAGGTTGGAGCAACCTGGAATAGTGGGAGGTGTCCCTGCCCATGGCAGAGGGTGGGACTGGATGGGCTTTAAAAATCCCTGCCAACCCAAACCAGTCTGGGATATAAGAAACAGGCTTAAAGATCCCAGAAAGCTCTGCCCAGATCCTGTCAGCAGCCCAAGGGGAAAAATCAGCTGAACTTGTGAAGTTGGAAAACTCTGCCTGGTGTTTGTTCTAACTCAGTGAGGATGGGGAGAAGTGACTCAGATGTTTCTATGGCTCTGGTTTTCCCAGCCTTTTCCCAAACGTGGGCCCACAGAGCACTCAGGTTTTGGATTTGGATTTTGGAAAGCCAGCTGCTTTCAGAGAAAGGTTGAAAAAACCCACGTATTTAAAAGGAGGACAGGGACAGGTGAAGAGTTTTGGCAGAATGAGCCTGGGTTTTGCTCTCAGTAGCCCTGAGAGAAGGAGGGAGCTCTCCCAGGAACCCAGTGATTTCCTAGGGCAGCCTGAACACAAATTACCAGCCCAGGGAATGCAGAACTGAAGGGAACACGATTTATCCACTCCTTAAATAACCAATCTGGCAAGAAAGGAGTTTTGGCACGAAGCCAGAGCTCAGGGAAGTGAGTTGGAGTTTTTCCAGTGATTTTCGTGGGCTTCTCTAAACCTTTTGCTGCCCTTCAGCCTCCCCTCTGTGGCTCTTTCCAGCCAGTGGCAAACACTGTCCCTCCTTTTCCCCCCTTCTTCCTTCTTTTCCCCCCTTTTTCCTTCTTTTCCCCCCTTTTTCCTTCTTTTCCCCCCTTTTCCCTTCTTTTCCCCCCTTTTCCCTTCTTTTCCCCCCTTCTTCCTTCTTTTATGTGGTCCCACGTGTTGGACTCCTCTGCTTTGCCCATCCCAGTCAGGGTTTGGGACATACTTCTGATAGACCCAGCTTAATTAGGTTATTATAATTAATATTAATTATAAAGAGATAGAATTTATCTATTATATTGATGTAAAATATCAATTTTATTTATATATTAGATCTATATGGAATATAAAAATTATTTATGTATTATATATAAATACTGGTCATTTTACTCTTAATATACGATATAGTAATATATAATATGAAGAATTTAAATTATATGGTTGGGCTGGATGATCTTAGAGGTCTTTTTCAACCTCTGTAATTCTCTGATTAATGATTCCATTAAAATATTTGAACCTCAGGAAGAGAGGCACACATAAATGCAGTGAGAACCCACTTCAGATCAGTGGAGTCTCACCCTGGGCAGTCTTGATTTTTAAGGTCTTAAATGTTCCTTCTGTGTTCTAAACTCTGTTTAGATGCTGGTGCTGATCTGCTTTATGGGAAGACAGTGGGCAATTTGGTGTTTTAAAAGCTTGATCCCTAAATGGGGAAGACTCTTCTGTCCTCTGTGATAGGAATTTAACAACTAACATTTTAAACAACTACCATTAAATCTTCCAGCAGGGGAACAGGTAAAATGTGTGAGCCAGCTTCACAGTGGAATCAAACATTGGCTCTTCTGTGGCAAATTCCTTTAATTTCCGGGGTTTTTTTTCTCCATCATCCCTTACTTTGGAGTTGATTTTGCTCCCACCTGGCAGAGGGTGGGGATTGGGAATGTGCAGAAGAAATGTGTATGAAATACTGATTTTTTTTTTTTAATTTTATTTTTATTTTAATTAAGGATTCTGTGATTTTAACAAAAAATTAAAAAATCTGACAAACTGCAGCTTGGTAAAATGTCTTTCTCCATTCGTTTCCTTTGGGGGCTCTCCTGATTATTAATCAGAAGATTATTAATCTTCTGATTATGTCTGTGGATACCCTTGGAATAAGAAATCTCCCAGAGCTTTCTGGGAGATGTGGATGCTTTTTCAAGCCCCTTCCAAGCATCCTCGTGGTTCTGCCTCAGTTTCTGTAGGTGAGGTGGCACTTTTCCACCCCCTCACCTCCATTTGGCTGTGGTGGGAGGATCAGGATGACTGATTTTAAGGCTTTATTTTTATCAGAGGCTCGAAGCTGCTGCAGGTTTCACCTTTTAAAAGAAGTCACTGTGGGACCTTGCAAAAGCAGGGCCAGGAAAGCTCTTCTGATGAGAGAATGTTGGAGGGAGAGGTTGGACAGGACCCAGCTGAAATCCAGAACACTGAGCACGTAGGGCAGGCTGGGGGAGGTTCAGATTCTGGCTCACTTTGTGCTGAGTCATGGAATGGTTGGAAGGGACCTTAAAAATCCAGGTTTTTCTTCTGAAAGCCCGCCCAGACCTGTGCTTGAACCCACTGAAGGATGCCCATGGAAGTGTTTGGGTTTTCACAAAATCTGTGTCCAACTGGCAAGTCAAGGACAGAGCAAAAATAGCTTTTGGAGGGCTTGGCACGAGCTGTGCTGCTTGCATGTAAATAAGGGAGGGAAAATATATATATGTACGGGGGGAAAAAAAGCTCAAACGTGCTCTGAAATGTTTCCCTCGGCTTGTTTATCAAATCAGCATCATCCAGTGCCTGAAGGCTGGCAGAGCTTAGCCCCCAGTGACCTTTAAAGAGCTGCAGGAGTTATTTTTTCTTGTAGTAATGTTGGTCCTCGGCACTTGAGATGCATCAAACCTGCCTTGCCTTGCAAAAACGTGCCCAGTTAACCCACTCAGGTGAGAGGGGAAGGGAAGTGTTTGACCCCAACGGAGAGAGGGGGGAAAAAAAGGCAAATAACAAGGAAAATAAGGTTAGAAATCGTGGAGATGTGCAGATTGGATGAGGGGAGTGATTTGGGTTGGAAAGAACCTGAAAGATCATCCAGTTCCAGCCACCTGGAACCTTCCCCTAGCCCAGGTTGCCCCAAGCCTTGCCCAGCCTGGCCCTGGACACTTCCAGGGATGGGGCAGCCACAGCTCCTCTGGCAAAACTGGGTACCTTAAGTTGGGTTGTGGTCTCTGAGCTCCTGACAGAGCAGTTTTGCCATGTGGGGTTTTGAATGTGCCTCCTTCTGGTCCCTTTTCCCCCATTTATGGGAACCACAAAGCCCTTCATGGAACTCAGGCATCAGTGCTGCTGAGGTTTGCTTAGAAGCTGGTTAACAAACTTGAGCTGAGTTAAAAAAAAATAACCCCAGCCAAGAATTGGGAATTTCTAGCAGGAAACATCATTTTTTGGCAGGGCACAAATGAAATTATTCCAAGCCTTTTTATTTTGTTGCTTTCCTTTTCTTTTGGCTCTTCTGGTTGGTGGAGAATACAGGGAGGAGCTGCATCACAGGGTTGGTATCCAGGGTGATGCAAGATGGAAAAATAGTCAACACACAGTTAAGTAAATAACTTCAGCCTTTAGGATGGAAAGGGAAGGCAAAAAATAGTAGGATTTCTTATATCACCAAACCAGTGTTGATGCTGGTTGTGTTGCTTTGCATAATTAAAAAGCCACGAGGCAGTTCACCAGAGAAAAGGGCATTGCCAAAAAAGATCAGTGTCATGCTCAGGATCCCAGAAGGGAATTAGAGTGGTGGAGTTGCCCATAGACATTTTCAGCTTTTCTTGCTTGTTCTGGGAAGAGAGGATCCGTTTGAATGTTTTCCAGGAAGAGTTTATTTCAGTGTTCGAAAGGTTTCCGTTGAAATAAAAACTCCTGGGGACTATTTACCACCCCAGAGGAAAACCAAGGGTTGGAAGGGACCTTAAAAATCAAGGTTTTCTTCTGAAAGCCCGCTCAGACCTGTGCTTGAACCCACTGAAGGAAGTGTTTGGGGTTTCTGGGGGGCTTATGGGCTCCACGTGCCCTGTGGGTTTCCAGCACATGGAAATGGTTCTGGTTAGGGCCAGTTCTCTCCTAACACTGTTCTCTTCATGGATGTCCCTGTGGTTTAGGGGTTTACCCACAGTGTTAGAGCATTTTAGGGCTTTATTTTGTGCACGTTGAGTAGAATTTGAAACGGTCATCCAAACTGAACATTGGTGCAAATCTTCTTCATCTGCTGCTGGTGTGGTCTCTGTCCTGCTGTGTTACTTGAAAACACACGTGGTGGTGGTGGGGATAAATGTGGATGGGTGGTTTGGCCCTGCAGGAAGAATCTGAGTGCCCTGGGAGAAGGAATAAGGAGTAGGAGCTCCCTGACCAGCTGTGTAACCCTCACTGGGTCAGTTGGGCTGAACCCCTGGGAGAGGAAGATGGAAAGCTGCATCTGAATGGGAAAGTTAATTAAAATAATTGCCTCGAAAGAGCCCCTCACCACCCAAAAAAACAGCTCTGTAGCCAGAAATGGTCCCTTGTTCCTCATGCCCTGGCAGCTGGAGAGATGCCCTTCCAGCCCTACATAAACCTATGGAAACAACCCCTCTGCTCAGAGCTGGGAACAGGGGTGTGTCTCCTGCCTCCCCCAGGGAACAAAGGCCTGAAATAGCCCTTGGAAATGTGTGTTCAACTCCATCCAACCTCAGCAGCTTTTGGATGGGCTGTGGGGCAGGATGGGGCACTGAAATGGGATCCCTCTTAATGCTGACTCCTCTTTCCATCCGCAGTGGGAGCGCCTCTGGTTCCTCATCCTCACCTCATCCTTCTTCCTCACCCTGGTCTGGTTTTACTTCTGGTGGGAAGTTCACAATGACTACAATGAAATCAACTGGTGAGTGGGGTTTTCCTGAAGAGGTTTATTTGGTTGCCTTCATCTGCCTTTCGGAGCTGTTGGGTGCATTTGGATCCTTCAGACGGGGCTTGTTAATGATAATAAAGGGAAAAGCAAGGTGGGAAGTGAGGCTGAAGAAGAGCTGCTTCTGCCTGGTCCACGTATGGATGTGATGTGTCCTCACATCTCCACTGTGTGGCTGCAACAGAGCTGGGGGTGGATGTGCTCCCTGGAGAACAGGTGGAAACAAAGGTGGTGCTGTGGAATCACGTAGAAACTTTTTGGTTGGTTTGGTTTTTTTTGTTTGGTTGGTTGGGTTTTTGTTGGGTTTTTTTTGGTTTGTTTAGGCGTGTGTGGGTTTTGTTTGTTTGCTTTGTGGGGTTTTTTTGTTTGTCTGTTTGGTGTTTTTGTTTATTCCTACGGTTGGCTGGTTTTGGAAGTGGCTGAGCAATTTGACTTCCCACAACAAAACACAAACGGCAGGAGTTCAGCCTGGAGCACAGGGGTGTGCAAAACGTTGCAAAGCTGGAAGGAGCTGGAAAGGAGCTCTCCAGTGCTGGGAAGCTCAGGGTGTTGCCAGCTCCCTCCAGTGCTGGAACTTACTCTCCCTTTTACTGTCTGGGCAGCATCTTAAAACATTTTGGCAGCACCTTGGGCTGTCCTCTGACCAAACTGCTTTGACATCACCTGCTTGTCAAACAGAATACCTAAGCTGTGTTTTAAAGCCCTGTGGGTCCTTAGATGCCTTAAATAATTCCTGTGCTTCAGATGCTGGAGTTGGGAGGGAGTGTTTGCTGACGCAGTGACGTGAGGTGTGTCCTCCCAGGATGGTTTTTTTCCTCTCTGCTCCCACCCACACTGTGAGAGCTGAAACCATCACCACTGCTCTCGATTATTTATACCAGGAGGGTGATGAAAATGCTGTGTTTAAAGTGGTATTTTGGAACTCCCCCATCCTCCAGTTTGCACCTTCAGTGCAGGATGGGAGCGCTCCCAGTCCACCCCAGTGAAAACCCAAAGCTGCTTCAGCTCCAAGGTGTGAAAAGGCTAAAAAAAAATGTTGTGCAGAAATGAAGGAAAGCCCTGGGAATGCTGTGAACGGGCATTACAGCTGCAGTGCTGCCAAGTTTGGGTTCCCAAGTGTTCCTGCAGGAGTGGGAGGAGATGTGCAGGTCTTCCCTGGATGCAACAGGCAGCTGGGATTTAACAAAGCTGGAGCCCAGCATGTATTGCTTCAGGCTTTTAATGTTTTGGTTTTTCCTTGAGGCTGAATATCATCAGGTCCTTGTTAGTGAAAGCACTTTGGAATTACTTTTTTTTTTAATTTATTGCTTCAGGCATTTTCCCCTTTTGGTGTCTCCACTTAATTGCATTAAAGCTCAGCTCTCCAGTGTGTAAGGTCTGTACTGCCACAGAAAGCTTGACTCTGGCTCAGGAAGGGATGCTGCAGTTTGGGAACCTGGCTGTGTTCCCTCTGGAGCAGGGCTGTAAATGCAAGTCTGGGGAGGATATTTTTTTTCCTTCCCTAGTTCTGGAGAAGGCTCATCTGGTTCATAACTGCCATGGAAACAGCATTTTAAAGCAGTCATTTGCACATCAAGTGAAGACTTGGAGCTATCAGAGGGCCACTTGAAGGGACATCAGAGCAAAAACTTAAATGGACTGAAGCTGAGCTGAGGAGCCTTTGGTGGTGGCCTGAGCAAAGGCTTCAGAGGAGCCCTCTTTGCTTTCTTCCCTCTGTTTTGCCAGCAGCGTGTCTGCATCCCTACAGATCCCTGCTTTTGTGGCTCTTTGAATCCCTGAGCGGAACCTGGACGTGGGCCATGGTTGTTGAGCCTCAGGATTTGCTTTCCAGGCTCTCCTGGGCAGAATTAGAGTCCCAGAGTTGGGAGGGACCCGCAGGGATCACGGAGCCCTGTGCAGGACAGCCCCAAAAATCCCCCAGATGGGTGTTGTCCCGCTGGGGCAGGTGCTGGAGCAGAGTTCCTGCCTGGTGGGCAGTGCTGGGTTCCAGGGGTGGCAGGAGGTCGAGGCTCTGACCTGCATTTGTGTGATGCAGCATTTCTGTCTGTTGGCACCTAAAGGAAAAGGCAACAGAAGAACCTGCCAGTTCACTGAATGAGCTGATGAGGAGGGCTGAGGAAGGCTGGTGGGACCATTCAACCTGAGCCCCACTGCTGCACCATCCACCCCACAACCTTTTTGTCCTTGTTGTGCCACAGGCTTTGCATGGAGATAACCTGAACCCTAAGCCAGGACAATTTGGGGGAGGTTTGTTTTTTTTCTAATAATCCACTGGAAAAAGTTTTAAGGCAGGTGGGGTTTGAAGCTGCAAGCAGGTTCTGGGATGTCTCTGCCTCTCTCCTCATGTGGTGGGGCCTGGGTGCCCTTCATTTCTGCCCAGGGAAGGAGTCTGCCCAGGTCTGCCTTGTGTCTTGCTGTAATACACTTTAATGACTCTCTTATCCAACTCCAGGATGGTTTTACTGGGAAGTACATTGCTGTTTAAATGGAGATTTGACACTTGAGACCCCAAAGCACAAGGGGCAGTGCTGCTGCCCTGAATAATGGTCTGCCCTGCCTGGTGCTCCTCTTCAGGGAGCTTTTGCTGCCCACTGAAGTCATGAAAGTGCTGAGGAGAGTCAGGGTGTTGGTAGGGAATGTTTTTCAGAAAACTCAAGCTCTGGTCTTGGACAATTGTTGGGTTTTTTTTCCAAAGCAAAGTGGTCACTGAGTTTGAGATAATTGTCCAATTCCTCCTTGCAGAGTTAATTTCCCGTGAGGACTCAAAGCACAAACACTGGGTTTTGTTTCAGAACGACTTGTGCTTTTTGCTGCCTCTCTCTCATCTGGAGAGAGAGAGAATAGAAAGCCCTGGTTTTTTAGAGTCTTATCTAATCCTGGTGAAGCTGTTCCGGTGCTGAATCCTTTCTTAATGTGCACTTCACACTTTCTCTTCCAGGTTTTTATACAACCGAATGGGATATTGGAGTGACTGGTCCATTCCAATCCTTGTCACAACTGCTGCTGGCTTCACCTACATCACAGTGTTACTGGTGAGTAAAAAAGTGCCAATTCTTAGAGGTTTGTGTGTTTGCTTTCAAAAGGGCACGAACTTCTCAGTCCACCTACGACTGGAGCGATTTCCCTTTCAGAAGTGATTTCTCTCTCAGCCTCTTTTTCACAGCCTTAAGTTGCCTAAAATAAGTGGAAAGTGAAAAATTCACGGGCTTTGACCTCAGATGATCAAAAGCAAGACAGGCACCTTGATTACCCGTGGTGCAGTTGGCCTGAGGGAGGAATACAGCTCTTGTTTCCCTTGGGGTGTGGCCCAGTTTCCACCTTGGTGTATCTGCCAGGCACAAGTCCAAGTGGTTCCCCCTCATCCCAAGGTGTTGGGGCCTTCAAGGTGGTGCCCATAGCCCAGACTCTCAACTCCCTGCACCTTGGAGGTCAAAGTCTCTCCCTCCACATCCTTAACTTTGCAGAGGATGTGTTTGTGCAGCTGAGCATCTGCTGGACCATCCCCACTCCAGCCCAGCTGGCTGCCCTGGCTTTTTTGGTTGTCCTTCTCAGAGGTTGAGATGTTCCTCTGCCTGACTCTTGGTTTCTCCCTCCCAGATCCTGGCACTATGTCACATAGCTGTGGGACAGCAGATGAACCTGCACTGGCTGCACAAGGTGAGTGGCTCTTCCCAGCTCCAGAGGGAGCAGGATCCCTGAGGAGCGGGTGGTGTGTGTGACACTCACTTGGCACCTGGGAAGAGCACAAAACGTCTGTGGTGAACGTGCCCTCACCTCAGAGCACTGAGCACACTGCCCAGGAGGGGCCTGGGGACAAGGAATGTGCTGAAAAGCTTTGGGATCCCTGCTGGCAGAGGGATCTCCTGTGGACATGGAGAAACAACCTGACTTCACAGTCTCAGCTCAGCCTGAACCTCCCTGGGGCTCCTTCCTGTGCTGAGCCCAGCCCTGAATGGGGCTGAGCAGATGTGAAGCTGTTCAGGATGTGCTCGGAGGAACTGGCTGGAAAAAAAACCTCGGGAGAAGGGGCAGGTGTTGAAACTGGGGGTGTGCAACGTGCAGGTTGGGCTTTGTGGGACCTGAGCTGACCCTGGTTTGTGGGTAAAGCAGTTTGAAAAACAGTGCTGTGAAGTGTCAGGGAAGCTGCAGATCTGGGGTGTGGAGCACAGAAGGGGATGGAGGGACAGGCAGAGCCAAAGGAAACAGGTTGGCAGGATTTCATTGTAATTGCTAATTGGTAATGAAGGGCCCTGTCCCAGATCTGCTGATCCACAGCTCCTCCTCAAACTGCTCCTTCTGCTCCTGACAACATCCTGCAGGATCAGAGGCCTCCCAGCACAGGGAGAGCAAAGCCCTTCCAACCCTCCCTTTTTTTTTTTTTCTGTAGGAATTATGGAAATTCTGCTTCCTCTGGAGAAGGGGATGCAGTGAGAGAGGGGGCAGGGACTGTCTGGCTGCTGCTGCAAAATAAACTGTCAGTTCTGGAGTCAAACATATGTTTCTTCATCGGGGGAAATGGCATTTTTCAGACACTCTCCAGGTGGCTGGTGGGTTTAGATGAGTAAGTCCAGAAGAGGAAGGTGTTGGTGGAGATCAGTTAGTTCTACCCTGCAGGACCCCACCCTTCCTTCCTTTCTTCCAAAGAAGCCCATCTTTCATCACAGCTCAGATGTGTTGCTCCATCCCTTCCCTTCCCCACACCTCCCTCAGCTTTCTGAGGAGGCTGAGATACAACAATGGAATAAGTTAATATTTTTCTCTGCAACTGTGCTGAACTATCTTCAAATATAGACTGGAGGGAGTGGGAAAGGCTGGGGTGTGTGAACCACACGGCTCCTTCCAATTTTCTTCTCCTGCAATTCCCTGGAAAGAGCTGAGCATTGTAAGCCAAGTTGAAGATGGTTGGGGGAGGGTAAGAAGCAGCAAGTGGGAGCTGATGGGAGGAGAGAAGGTGTCCTGACACCTCTGTGCCACAGGTGGTTTGAGTGCAGCCTCTTGGCTCAGGGATCCCTTGGCCCCTTGTGGTGCTCCATGTGCTTTGTTCCTGTTCCCTGGGAGCTGGAGGCTCAGGATGAGTGAGGCACTGCTGTCCTGGGGGCACCTCTGGTGCTGTTGGGCATCTGGGTGAGGAGCAGCAGGTGGGAACTGAGCCTGAAGTCCAAAGAGAAATCCTGTCTGTAGGTTCAGAAGTGATTTCTGTAAGCACTGGGAATGTGGGGGTTTATTTGCTTGTCTGAGGGGTTAAGTAAACCTGAAATGGGTGTAGAGGTGTCCCGTGCATCCAGGATGACCAGTTCCACTTCTGCCCAAGTGTCCAGACAGATTTCAGGTCTGACAGCACATGAGACTGATCCATAGAGCATCCTCCTCCTCCTCTGAATCCTGCAGATGTGCAGGACAGCAGAGACTGAGGTACCAGACAGGGCTGGGGAATGCTGAATTATTTTTTAGGCAGACAGCCCGGATTTTGGGTCTTTACAGCCACAGTCATTTCTGTGGCACTTCCTGATGGGCTGAACTTTTTACCTTCAAAATGCAGGTCGTGGTTTCGCTTTGACTGCTTTGCTCAGACTTTGGAGTGCTTCCACACCCTGGGGATGGATTGGGTCTCTGCCATCTCAGTTCAGCCACTGGCTCATCCCGAGTCCCTTCTCGAGCTGCAATATCTGTTGTAACTGCTCTGCCAAAATGACTTGGATGCTGCTGCAGCAGGGCCAGGAGAGTCTGGGATCACCTCCTGAAGTTCCTGGCAGAACCCAACCTCTATTTAAGCTGGTTTCAATCCAGCTTGTTGGCAAAGCAAATCACCTGATCTTCCCTTAGCTTTGTGTGAGGCAAACGAGAGCTCACCCATGAGATGTGCCCTCCTGGGGCCCAGTGTTCCAAGGTGGAAAAGGGGAGGTTGTGCTGGGACAGCACCCAAGCCCAGCTTCTTTCCCTGTGGATCTTAATGCCTTTTATTACCTGCAAAAGTTTCTTCTCTCTCCATTTGCCAATGTGTGAATTGTTTATGGCAGCACAGGCTCCAGGCTGCGAACACTCTCTGATTTGTTGCAGATTGGCCTGGTGACAACCTTGATAACCACGGTGGTGACCATGTCATCCATAGCCCAGCTCTGGGACGACGAGTGGGACATGGTCTTCATTTCACTGCAGGTGAGGTGACTGCCAGGGGGCTTCTCTGGGTGGGAAAAGGCCCCAGTGCAGCTGAATGCCAGGGATTTGGTGGCTTTCCATAGCGTGAAACTCGGGCTTGGTGTTTGTCACTCCCAGATTTTGGCAACGCAGAGCTTGCAGCCAAACTCCCCTGGAGTTTGCAATGCCACTAAATCACTGTGTCTCCATCTCCTGGCCTCTTTCCTTTCAACTCAGTCCAGGGCTTGGCTGCAGTTTGAGGTGGGAAATCCTGGGGCTGATGTGACTCAGAGTTCCTGGAGGGAGAGGACAATTTGCAATTCCTCCTCGAGGCTCTGAATGTTGGTGTCCAGTCCTGGAGCATCCTGCTCTTCCCAGGCCTATGGCAGGAGTACTCTGGGGTTATTTCCACATTGCACATGTTTGTTTTTGTTGGTTTTTGGTTTGTTTTTTTTAGATATATATAAATAAAAATTTAACTTCTGTGCTCTGGTGCTATTTTAAGAAAGACTTTTGTGGGATCCTGCAGGGCTATAGAAATTTTAGTGGAAAATACTTACAAACTGGTAATTTCTTGATAGACCTGCTCTCTGTTCCTTATTTTCATCTCCCTTAAAAAAGGACTCCAGAAATATTTTGCCCATGAAAGGCTAAAAAGATTTTACTGGTAATCACTGCTGTATATTTGGGAGTATGCAAATATATGCAAATAATGAGGGTGGAAATGGCATTCGCACAAGTGACTAACATTTCTCAGAAGTGCTTCATTTTATTGGGGTTTTTTTAAGATTTAGGCAGCAGAGTTGGAGGGCAGAAGCATGACTCAGATGAGACATCTCCAGCTTTGTGTCGTGGTGATGCACAGTCCGGTGCGTTCAGAGAATCAGAGCAGAGTTTGGGTTGGAGGGACCTTAAACCTCATCCAGTCCCACCCCCTGCCATGGGCAGGGACACCTTCCACCAGCCCAGGTTGCTCCAAGCCTTGGACACTTCCAGGGATCCAGGGGCAGCCACAGCTTCTCTGGGCAACCTGTGCCAGGGCCTCCCCACCCTCGCAGGGGAGAATTCCTTCCCATTATCCCATCTAACCCTGCCCTCTGCCAGTGGGAAGCCATTCCCTGTGTTCTCTGTATTATTACCTTGAGCTATTCCCCCAAATTGGGCTTCCAGTTTTCCTTCTCTGCCTTCACAGTGCCCTAAATGCCAAAGGCAGTGGCAGGGTTTGGAAGAAGCCACGGCCAAGACGGTGCAGAATCCAGCTGGGAAAGCAGTGCTCTGCCTTCCCACGGAACCTGCCAGGCCAATGAATTTTCAAAGTGCTGGAGGGGTGGTTTTAATCACATTTTAAGCCTGTTTTTCTCTCGTGTCATTGTGCCCTGCAGGCCACAGCCCCTTTCCTGCACATAGGAGCCCTGGCAGCGGTCACGGCGCTGTCCTGGTTGGTGGCGGGGCAGTTTGCACGGACAGAGAAACCCAGTGAGTACCTCCTGTGGCCTTGGGGGGGGTCAGGGGCTGCTCAGGGGACTCTTGGGCCACTGGGTCCTCTTGTTGGCAACCAGCTGGCAGTGCTGGTTCCTTCCCAGGGTTCAGTCTCCATCCCAGCCATACCGGGGGAAGGTGGATGCACCCAGACCCCGAGACTCGATTTGTGCAGAGCTGAAAAGCTGATTTTCAATGATGGGATGAGTAAAAGCATCCAGATTTCCATCAGTCTGCTTTAGGAAACATAAATGCAGCTCGTGTGAGATGTTCTTCTCCGTAGCTCAGAAGTCTCTCCCTCCCTCTGCCTCCTTGGCTCTTGTTCACCTGGGTTCCCAGAAAGCCCTCGTGGAATTGTTGGTTGTGGTGCAGCAGCACCCAAAGGGCTCAGCAGGGATCTGATCCCCCGATCACAAACTCATTAAGGTTGGAAAAGCCCTCAAAGATCGAGTCCAACCATCCCCCAGCACTGCCAAGGCCACGCTGACCCACGTCCCCAAGTGTCACATCCACAGGGCTGTTAAACCCCTCCAGGGATGGGGACCCCCCCCACTGCCCTGGGCAGCTGTGCCAGGGCTGGACAACCCTTTTGGGGAAGAAATCTTCCCTAATATCCAACCTAAAGTTCCCCTGGCTGTTTAGGGGGCTGAGGGTTCTGCTTTAAATCCGTGTTGAGACGTGGTCAGAGGTCTCAGGGAGCAGAGTGGTGAAGGACATGCTGAGCCAAGCTGTTCCTCCAGGTTTTCCTGTGAGATAATTTGATCCTTCTGTGCCCTCAGAAGCGTTTTGCTCCAGGGCAACCAGGGATGTTCTCAGACATTGGTGCCAGCTCCAGAAAAATATTGGTTTAATTGGCATTTAACCTGCAGTAAAACGCAAGCCCTGGAAGGATTTGGCAGCGCTTGCAAAAGACTTCCAAGAAGTGGGAGTTGAGAATGAGGAAATGTCTGAAGATGGAAAGATTTTGCTACCCAGAGAGCCCTTTCAGGAGAGAATTGTGCCTTAATTTATAACTGTGCCAATAAGGCTGGACCTGGTGGTTCTTAGCTGTGTCCCAGCGTGTCGTGAGGGTGCCAGTTGAGGAGGGTTTGTGGTTCTGCCTGGAGCAGAGCCTGCAGGGGCTCCTTCTGAATTCCTCCTCCTTTTTCTCTTCCTGCTGCCTTCCCTGACAAGGGCTTTTCATTATTTTTTTATTTTCCACCATTTTTAATCTTTGCCTCCCTCATTCTTTTATTTTTTCTTGTTTCTCTTTTTTCTCATTTCTCTTTTTTCTCATTTCCTTCTCTTTTTTTCTCATTTCTTTTTCTCATTTCTTTTTTCTCTTTCTTTTGTTTCTCTTTTTTTCTTTCTGTTGTTTCTCTTGTTTCTCCTATCTTGTTTCTCTTTTCTCATTTTTCCTTTTTTCTTCTCTCTTGTTTCTCTTTTTTCCTTGTCTCTTTTTGTTTCTTCTCTCTTTTTTTCTTGTCTCTTTGTTTCTCTTTTTTTCTTGTTTCTCTTTTGTTTTTTTTCTTGTTTCTCTTTTGCTTTTTTTCTTGTTTCTCTTTTTGTTTCTCTTTTTTCTTGTTTCTCTTT